CTGTTGGAGAGGAAAAGTCTGATTAGGTGTTGGTCTTATTTCATTCATGTGCATTTCGAAGGGTTTTTTAAAGATCTACCTTTCTGTCTACATATTTCTCTGTCTGTTTGCTTGTTTGTTTCGCTATTATCTCTATGTCCATCATTATCTATCTATCCATATGGTAAAAGAGGGAGAGAGAGAGAGAGAGAGAGAGAGAGAGAGAGAGAGAGAGAGAGAGAGAGAGAGAGAGAGAGAGAGAGAGAGAGAGAGAGAGAGAGAGAGAAAGAGAGAGAGAGAGAGAGAGAAAGAGAGAGAGAGAGAGAGAAACAGAGAGAGAGAGAGAGAGAGAGAGAGAGAGAGAGAGAGAGAGAGAGAGAGAGAGAGAGAGAGAGAGAGAGAGAGAGAAAGAGAGAGAAAATACTCAAACAAAAATATACGACAACTTGCTCATTACTGCAAACAACCCCTCCCCTCCCCCACACCACCCAAGAACAATGCCTAGAATTATCAATCGCAAATTTCGTCCCCTCCCCTCCCCTCCCCTTCCCCCTCCCCCCTCCCTCCCTCCAAAAAAGAAAAAAACTGTCCCCATTCCCGACTGGTGGGTGCAAGGTTGCCCGACAGAACAGCCTGCACACCAAACACCCTGTTGTATGGTCAGAGCTTCACCACTTCCGGGAAACACGTAGGTTGCGGGTCCTTGTAAAGAATCAGCCATGCACTCAATTATTAATTACGGAGATAGGGTAAGCGCGTATCAACATAATTACGTATTTACATTATTCATTCTATCCATCTATCTGCCGCATCAAAGGCCTGAACCATCTGTGGCGTATTTGTTTGTTAAAGGGCGCGCAGGAATTTCCCAAAGAAAAGGATTATACAAGAGAGGGGTAAGCCAGGCGGCCATACAACATATATATCAAGCAGCTGTCAAGGCGTTGTTGGTTGGGTGATGGGAAGTCATGGTTACCGCGTGAGCCTACACAACAAACAGCTTTCTTTCTCATCATCGATTAGTATTACTGTGTGTGTGCGTGCGAATGTTCAACTATATATATATACATACACACACACATACATATATATATATACATATACGCATACATACAGACATACATACGTACATACATTCATACATACATATATACATACATACACGCCCGTAGACACATACACACATATATGTATGTATACATATGAATGAATAATATACAGACAACACGTAACTATACAGTACATGGGATATACACACATCTATACACAAGCAACCACAAATACCTCTAAAATTCACCTTGAAACTAATACTCCTTGGAAACATCATTGTCAATAGCAAAGGTCATTATCGCCAAACATTTAATTACTCCCACGGCGAGATATATCCGCAATTGTTTTTGCTAAACGCTCGCCGCAAATTGATACGAGAGGGAGAGGCAGTCAGTTGTATGGTTAGCAGGATGTCCTCGGAAAACCAATAAAGGTTTCATGAACCATTTCCGTGTTACAGAAAGTCGAATAAGTGCAGGTATTGAGAAAAATGAAAACGTGTAATGTTTGATCCTAATGATATTAGGCAGAACCCGAAAAGGCAATATTTACTTATTATGTTTTGTTTTTTTGCTGGGAGGGGGGGAGTATGAGAAAAAAAAAACAGATGAAAAATATATATTAGGTGTAATCTAACAAGTCATTGTAAATTTCGTAAAATATTCGAAACAATGTTATCTGCTGTGTCATATCAGAATCTGTATTTACATTACAAGCTCAAACCCACACCTCACGTCCACAGCTCACGAAAATAACATACAGTAAAAAAAAAAACTATGTCATTGTATAAACGCATACAACTTTTATAGACCTTTACAGAATTATTAGTGACCTATTTCCGCAATAATTCAACGTCATACATTTCTCGTTCTGAAAGAGAATTGGGTGGAGTTGAAAAAGTAGAAATGTGGATGACTGCGTTGAAGGTGAGACAGAGGACATAGAAACAGGTTGCGTAACAGAGAGAAAGAGAAAGAGAGGAAAGAGAAAGAGAGAAAAGAGAAAGAGTAGAATAAAGCAGAGCAACGCGGGCTAAAGGAAAAAAAAAATCATAGAAGGAAAAAAATAGCAAAAAGGGACAAAACCAATAAGAAATCAGATCAGATCGAGAAGGAGGAGGAAGAGGAAGAGAAAAAGAAGAGAATGAAGAGGGTAGTAAAGGTCATAGGACTGAGGCGGGATAAACAGAAAGATGCCGTGTTTTCAAACGGTTCTAATATACCGTGACAGTCTGATAAAACTAATTTTCATTGTTTTAAATCATACTCCAGAGAGAGGAAACGGCTAACTGTACCGTTTCCGGGGCGGTTACTGTACAAACAGAATAAAACAGGCAGATATGGACAAGTCATGGGAGATATACCGCGCGGTGTAAGAAACACTGTGGTCGAAACAGAAAGAGAGAGAGAGAGAGAGAGAGAGAGAGAGAGAGAGAGAGAGAGGGAGAGGGGAGAGGGAGAGAGAGAGAGAGAGAGAGAGAGAGAGAGAGAGAGAGAGAGAGAGAGAGGGAGAGGGAGAGGGAGAGAGAGAGAGAGAGAGAGAGAGAGAGAGAGAGAGAGAGAGAGAGAGAGAGAGAGAGAGGAGAGGAGAGGGAGAGAGAGAGAGAGAGAGAGAGAGAGAGAGAGAGAGAGAGAGAGAAGGAGAGAGAGAGAAGGAGAGAGAGAGAAGGAGAGGGAGAGGGAGAGAGACAGAGACAGAGACAGAAACAGACAGACAGACAGACATAAACAAACAAAGAACCCTTGTGAACCAAAATGAATAGAAACAAACCGGAAGATGAAACCGAGAGGGAGAAAGAGAGAACCAACCAGGTGCCAAGACGCGAACCCGAATCAGCTGAGATGGAACCACGTAAGAAAATAAAAGAATAAAAAATGGAATTTACAGCGGATGGAACCAATTACTAAGGAGGTTCCAAGTCTCGTGAAATTTCTTCGAATAATCTCAAAACCGTAAAGAAAAGTTTAAAAATACGGAAGAAAAGAACCATTTTCTTCCAGATCACGGAAGCAACAAATTCATTCTAGGTAAGAGACCAAGTTGCATGACATCCTAAAAAGAAAGAATAGCATAGAAGGAAAAAAATAGCAAAAATGGACAAAACCAATAAGAAATCAGATTCAGATCGAGAAGGAGGAGGAAGAGGAAGAGAAAAAGAAGAGAATGGAAGAGGGTAGTAAAGGTCATAGGACTGAGGCGGGATAAACAGAAAGATGCCGTGTTTTCAAATCGGTTCTAATATACCGTGACAGTCTGATAAACGAAGTTTCATTGTTTTTAATCATACTCCAGAGAGGAGGAAACGGCTAACTGTACCGTTTCCGGGGCGGTTACTGTACAAACAGAATAAAACAGGCAGATATGGACAAGTCATGGGAGATATACCGCGCGGTGTAAGAAACACTGTGGTCGAAACAGAAAGAGAGAGAGAGAGAGAGAGAGAGAGAGAGAGAGAGAGAGAGAGAGAGAGAGGGGGAGAGGGAGAGGGAGAGAGAGAGAGAGAGAGAGAGAGAGAGAGAGAGAGAGAGAGAGAGAGGGAGAGAGAGGGAGAGGGAGAGGGAGAGAGAGAGAGAGAGAGAGAGAGAGAGAGAGAGAGAGAAGGAGAGAGAGAGAAGGAGAGAGAGAGAAGGAGAGAGAGAGAGAGAGAGAGAGAGAAGGAGAGAGAGAGAAGGAGAGAGAGAGAAGGAGAGGGAGAGGGAGAGAGACAGAGACAGAGACAGAAACAGACAGACAGACAGACATAAACAAACAAAGAACCCTTGTGAACCAAAATGAATAGAAACAAACCGGAAGATGAAACCGAGAGGGAGAAAGAGAGAACCAACCAGGTGCCAAGACGCGAACCCGAATCAGCTGAGATGGAACCACGTAAGAAAATAAAAGAATAAAAAATGGAATTTACAGCGGATGGAACCAATTACTAAGGAGGTTCCAAGTCTCGTGAAATTTCTTCGAATAATCTCAAAACCGTAAAGAAAAGTTTAAAAATACGGAGAAAAGAACCATTTTCTTCCAGATCACGGAAGCAACAAATTCATTCTAGGTAAGAGACCAAGTTGCATGACATCCTAAAAAGAAAGAAAGAAAAACAGGAGGTTCAATTGCCGTCACGTGTCATGTTGCACTGATGTTGCATATATCCTTTTGACACCACTGGTTATTTCGCTGGAAGTGTGTTTGCTGAGTCAGGCTGATGAGATACGCCAGTCAGTGAATTGCATATTTGTTATCTTTATTTTAGGTCTGAGTTTCGATTTTCGTCTTTCGGTTGAGTGGTAATCTTCATGTTTATAATTCGTATATATATTTTCTTCTCGAAAAAAAAAATATCTTTATCTAACTACCGATTTGGTAAATTTCTTGTTTCTTTATCTGGCGCCTCTTTTTCATGATTTATCTTTCCCTGATAAACAACAGAACTCGTTCAAAATCCCCGCAAACGTCATCAAAACATCTCATATTATATCGCTACTCAGCAACTCATCCGTGACGTCATATCCAAGTGATGACGCTCTCATGCAGGTCGAGCAGTTGTCAGCCGGAGCGGGATGACGTCATGACTCATTCAAGGTAGGCGCGCGTGATTGGTCAGCGGCAGGTAGTGACCGTGGTATGCCTCGATGACGTCATGAAACAAACCCAGCGGATGTGAGTATCGGAAATGGGCGCTAAAAGTGAGGGAGAGAGAGGGAGAGAGAAAGAGAGAGTCATCATGGCGAAGAGGAGATCCGGGTCAGGTAGAGTTTACGCCTCTGCCCAGCAGGTTCAATTAGGAAGCTGTGGAATTGTGAATAGATACGGCAAACAAGATAATCTCTCTCTCTCTCTCTCTCTCTCTGTCTGTCTGTCTCTCTCTCTCTGTCTATCTATCTATCTGTTTATCTGTTTGTTAGACACATGCAATATAGTGTTATGGATAAATGGATAGGTACATGATAATATAGATATAGATATAGTAATATAGACAGATA